ATTTCAAGTAAAACCTAACACTATTGGTAAAAACAGCAAAAACATTCCACAACTCCAATGGAAAACAATAAAAACCAGTAATTTTATTAGAAATTTTGAGGAAAAAACACTTGAAATTCACTAGTAGAAGGAGAAAAACAACAAGATACAATTGATCTTCTATTCGAGAGGAGGATCGATCTCTCCCATATCTCTAGACGCCGCTAGAGCCCAAAGAAAACCTAAATCTAGGAGATCTTAAATTTCAGCCAAATTCAAGATGCCATAACCCTAGGAAAACAAACTATTTAATGCATATAAATCAAAAGGAAATCCCTAAATAGTCCCTACATTCAAATTTCCCTCTTAAATCCCCAAAAAATCCTTCCTAAAATGGCTCACACACGCTATGCGTGCGTTTGGCGCATACAAGAGGTGGAGAAATCCGCCTCTATTCGTGTAGGCCGGTCCAGTCGGTAATCCGCCTCTGTTCGTGTAGGCCGGTCCAGTCGGTCCGACTAGACCGGTCCAATGGACCAGTTTAACAGTATGACCTGAAAACATATGGAGGTTGGGGAGAGAGAGTTCTATGAGAAGGAATCCGCTAACTCAAGAATATGTAATAAAAGTGCAAAAAAAATCCTAATTTTTCCTCTTCACCCATTATTTATAGGGATTCGACGGCTATGAGATAGGCTACATCAATAAATGCAACGAAAATACATGATTTAATGTCTCTTAACACAAATTACCTTAGACACGTGCAACACTTTGGCTAACTAGATGTGAGATTGCTTCTCTGGATCTTGATTGTTTATTTCCAGGTCAGTTCAATAGTGCCGAGTGCTTATGGGTGAGTAGGTGCAAGTGAGTTCGTTAGCGAGTCTTGAATAAAGAAGGTTGTTGTTGGCTAACATTCCCAAATCAATAGTGACCTATGTTGGAGCTTTGTATCGCCTAGTAGGAAGAGGCAAGTAAGCTTGAGTTGCAAGGTAGGTAGGCTCCATGGCCTGTTGGCTGTGATTGGGCAAGCTGTCACGGGATAATTTTAGTGTTATATCTCTTTTCCAGTCAGTAGTATTAAGTTGTCACGGGATCTTTGCATCCAGTCACAATACTGATGTCCTGCTGCAAGTGAAAAATTGTTGACTCTGTTGAAAAAATTAAAGGTTCATTTTGTGGAGCTTTTTAATTTCTTTTAATTTTAAAAAACTCGCGTATCATAGTGTTGATTTGAGTGTGAAACGTACAGTGAAAAGCGCTTTAATGCATATAATGCATGTGCGCCTCCTGCATAGCCTTATAACCATGGGAAACACACTTGTACGCCAGCTTATCCAGCCCTATAGGAGTACCGATGACTCTATTTTGTACCAAATAAGAGTAGCAGCGATTCTATTTTGTACCAAACAACCCAACTAACATAAAATTACCAAACAAGCCCAAGTGTAGAATGTCACGACCCGAGCCGGCTAGCCCGATTATATCTGGGCGGGAACAGTCGGTCGTACGGAAGAGCATAATACATAACATATTTTCATTTAAAACTTAAGGTCAGAACATAAATATCATCCCAAAATATATGAAAGAGCCACTAATAAACTTCAAACTCAAATGTTACAAACTGATCAACTAATGTACATGGAAAAACAAGTATGAAAATCATGTGCAACACATAAAACATTTAATCTCAACATATTTTGAAGCTTTTTAAATTCATGAAATAATAGTCTTGAATATTCATATTGTCATAAAAATGAAAAGTCATGAATTCAGGTCATAAGAAACTTTTTCAATCGTTTGCATTAAAATACTAGAACGGAACAAAATCATGAAATTTTTATCAAAAACATGAGTACCTACCTCAAACCAAATACGACACGTCGCTTCGACACAAGTCTTCCACTCCACCCTTCAATAATCACTACCTAAGAAAGATTTACAAAAGATACGTGTCATAAAACTAATTATCATATTCTTAAGTCTAAATCTTTATTTTCCCTTAATCATTTCATACAAAACTAAATGAATATTTAATTAAATTAATATGCATTTTTGGATTTAATTTAAAATCTAAATTTTAGAAATCCCTAAATCTTAAATTTTTGCTCAAAACTCTATTCTAACATTATTCCTAAACAATATTTAATAAATACTTAATTAATTTTCGGATTTAACTAATTATGGAAATTATAAAAAGTAAATTTTTATCAAAAATTCAATTTCATGCTTTCAAAACATTCCTAATATCCTTAGGAATAATTTTTGTAAAAACATCACTAAGGAATTAAAGTTTTCGTCAAAACCCTAACATTTAAATCTAAAAAAAATTCCTCAATTCACTTCTTTTTCATTGCTAAAATAATCCCCTAAACATTTCTTAAAGATTTTATAAAGAAATTGCGAAAGAAAATCGAAATTTGGAAAAATCCTAGATTTTTCGATATCAAATAACTTGAGATTTAGGAAGTTTCGTTCTAAAATAATCGTATATGAGTGTTCCTCTCGTCGCCCTCTTCGATTTGACCTAAAAGTTTCGCCGGAGATCCCTCGCGGAAGCCGCCATCCGCAGGACCGTCCGCCTCTCTTTGTTTGTACCACTCTATTTCACGTGAAAATGAATAGGGAAGGGTTCAGTTTTGCTAATAAGAGGAATTGGGGTTTGCTAATTACTCATATACCCTCACTTAAGTAAATTTGGCCTTTTATTAGATTAGGGGTAAAGTTGGTATTTTTAAGCTTCAAACATTTTTAATTCCTAAAATAGGCTAAATTAGGTATAAGTGTTATATACCAAAACGATCAGAATTTCGTAAGAGAATTTCTAAAATTATTTTCATTAAATTCCGTTAACCTCGAAAATTTCATTTAAAACTCGTCGCGGCGTTTTGAAAAGTGTGCGACGACCTAAAATAGTATTTTCGGGTTTTTACATAGAAAAAAAGTCATTGTTTGTTAACAGGGTGCCATACTGCTATTTGTTTCAATTGTTTAGTTTACCACTGCGATTATCATCAACATTAGCCTTATCTCATCCATTGGGGATTGGATTAATGGTTCTTGTTCTCCATTTATCCTGTTAAGTTAATCTACCCATTTTTCTTTCAGATTCTTTCACATCAATTTCATTAACTTGTCATATCAGTCATCTTTTACTCCTATTGTACTTTTATAGGTTTGGTAATTATGTTCAAAACTGAAAATCACACGACAATTGCTCAAATTTTAATTGATTTGACATCAAAATCACTCTACTTCAATGCGAAGATGTAACTTCTTAAATGATATATGCATACATATTCATGCATTTATATTTAGTATATTTTGTTATACTTTCTTATATGTATATTTGGAATACTTTTATATAAATGTTAAACAAGATTTGTGATAAAAAAATATTGTATAGAATTATAGGCTTACTCATATTACTCAAAATTTGACTCAAAATCAAATATTGTTGGCTCAACTCAAAATTGGCTTGAGTCAAAATCAAAATACTTAATTTTGAGTTTAGGTCGGCTTGCTCAAACTCAATTCAATTTCACCCTTGTACTTTCCCAAACAATTTAAGTCTATTTTGCACTAACCAAATTCCTTTCTAGTATTTCTTCGTCATTTCTATCCACCAATTCTATATATGCATCTTCTTCCCTCTGTGTACTTGCCCAAACAATTCAACTCTATTTTCCACAATCTTATCTTCAATACTCGCCACTCCTATCTCTCTTGAGGTGCCAAGCCAACTCAAGGGCAGTTCAAATTTGGTCATGCTCCAGAACTGAAGGAAAGAGTTTTAGAGAGAGGAAGAAAAGAAAATTGGAAGATTAAGGAATCAGAGATGGATTTATTTATAACGCATCTTGTTATTTACGGTTCTTTAGCTCAATGTAACAAACATTCTTGAAAATAACAAGCTATTAACTATCCACAGTCTACAACCCAGCAACAAACCTTCCTTGTTGGGTAGAGCTGCTTCCCACTAACCTTAATGTAATAATCCGCCATCCATTTGGGTGCTTTTGGTGCTCAAGAACCATAGCCTTTTCAATTTATCCTTTTTAATTTTATCACACTCATCTTAACATTATCATTCCTATCAATCTGAATAAAGTTTCTTCCTGTTTAACTTCAATTTTACTGCTCAGGCAATTTTTCTGATCAGCAGTTTGGCTTGTGGAGACTTTTTTGTAGTATGTTTTCAATTCTCTTCATATATGTTTATCGATATTAATGAAAATACTCTTGGTCAGCAATTTTATTGTGTTCTTCTGTGGAAATTTTGTATTCATGCTGCAGTTTTTTGCTCCCGAAGTAGGTATAATAAATTAATAATTATTTAAAACTGAGAGAATTGTGAAGAAATGTGTTAGACTGGTCCACCCAGTTGACACGGTATCGGCCCTGCGCAACAGAGGCGGAAAATTTCCACCTCTTTGGTAGTTCGTTCGGACCGCAAGAGCCAACCAAACATTTTAGGAAGGATTTTTGAGGGTTTTGGGAGGAAAATTTGAATGTAGGGACTGTTTAGGGATTTCCTTTTGATTTTTGTATGCATAAATAGTTTGTTTTTCTAGGGTTAGGGCATCTTGAATTGGGGCTGAATTTGAGATCTCTTAGTTTTAGGTTTTGGGCTCTATATTCGTCTAGAGATTGGGAGAGATCGATCCTTCTCTCGAATAGAGGATCAATTGTATCTTGTTGTTTCTTGCATTCTATTTGATTCTTGCAATAAAATTACTGTTTTTCTGATTTTCTTTTGGAGCGTGGAAGAGTTTTCTTGTTGACTTTCTGAAATTGATAGAATTTACTTGAAATCTTCAAGTGTTTCCTATCAAAATGCTAATTGAATTTGAGTTTTGATGCCGATGCTCTTTTCCTGGATAAAAAAAGAGATGGATAGAAGACACTTTTAAGAATGACTCGGGTGCTCACTTCTTTGTTTTACGTTGAACTAGGGACAATTAAAGGATCATTGGCATTCTTGTTTTTTGTCAAGATAAATGTGTAACTGACATGTTAAGTTTGATGATTTCCAGGAATGTGGATGGAAAGGCTGGGGAGAGATATCTTATGGAGGATATAAATGTCTATTGCGTGCTGAGGCGGCAGATTTTCTAGTTAGTAAACTTGATTCATGTTATCTTCATTTAGTATTAAAAAGTTGTGATATCTTTATTTTCTGGAAAAGCTGTCTCTGCAAGTTAGGCTTTGTTTGGGACAGCTTTCTTATTGCTTTCTAAACCTGTTTACTAGTACAAAAATTTATAGTTTTAAAAAATTTTGTACTAAAAAACTCCTTTAGAAAGCAATAAAAAAGCCGCCCCAAACGAAGTCTTAATAGGATTTATTTCAAAAAAATACAATTTTATTCATAAGATCACAATGATTACTGAATTTTTCATTAATGGCCAGATAATCGTTCCTGGTATATCTTTGTGGATTGAATTCATCTTATTATGTTGGCTAACAGTACTTAACATTCTTATTCAGGTTAGGTCATGGGTGGATGAAAAGTATCCCGGTATCAAAGATTCCATTATTTCCTACATTATTGGCTATGACAGCCTAAAAGCAGCCAACAGTAGTACAAGAATTTCTTCATCGGAGCAATTAATGGAAGTAAGGCTTCGTATGGATGGCTTATTTAAGCTGAAAGAGCAAGCCATTCACTTTGCTCAGGAGTTTATGGCTCTTTACACAAATGGGCCAGCGGGCGGTGGAGGTATTAGGTTAGTGGAAAAATAGTATGTTCTGTTTTACGTTTTTTTTTTCTATTTGACCACTTGCATTAAATTTTAACATGTATGTTACATCTGAAGTCTTAGGTTTGAATTAGGTATTGTTTATGTCGACTCTACTATTTCCATTTATTTTCCTAAAACACCAAAATTACACTATGAATTGTTTTGATGTGTCCTCTTTTATCAATATTTTTATATGATAAATGCTATACTCCCCAAAAATTTTGACTTAAAAACTCATGTCATGTCATCACTTGATTAAGTGGACCAAAAAAATTCTCTCCAAGTAAAAGTACATGACACTCTTCCCATTTGATTGAGCCGCTGAAAAAAGTGCACCCCAAATGAATTTTTGTGTAGATTTGTTTGGTGAGTGTAGCTATGCTCTTTTTAGACAAGTACTTAATTTGATCTTCTATTCTTTCCTCCTCACTTCAATAAAGTTGATTGAATGATCAACCTTTGTAGATCTCATTCAATTAGTCATTTACTCGCACCAATTCCCCCTCATTTTCATGAGAAATTATTCTGTGTGGAGTCCAGACGAAGAGATCCGGATTTGTTGCGTATTTACTCAGTATTTGCTGCGTATTTGCAAATACTCAGTAAATACTTAGCAAATACTCATTTGTGAGTATTACTAAGTATTTTGTGAGTATTTGTTGAGTAATTTGTGAGTATTCGTTGAGTATTTTGTGAGTATTTGTTGATTTACTGCGTATTTGCTGAGTATTTATAAAAAACTTAGCAAATAATCAGTAATACACAGCAATCTGGACGGTTCTTCCCGTCCGGACTCCACACAGAATAATTTCTCCATTTTCATAGGTTTGAGTCGGTCCTTCGCCTCCACCCATCTTTAGGATGATAAGAGCGGACTATGGAGATTTTTAGCTTCACCTTCAGATGACTAGTCAGAATAAAATGAAATGGGTGTCAAATGATTTTCTAGTGTGAAATAGAGTTAAAATGCAAAAGTGAACAATGGAATTACACAAGGGAAGACCGAAGATTATTCGTAAAGGGCAAATTTGTCTTTTTGGTAGATAAAAGTACTTGCAGGAAACATGTCAAATAAAGGGCCCAAACAGTAATATTTTGACGTAATGGACCACAAGCGACCAAGATGTAATTTATTAAAACTTTTATGAATTGGATGAATGGATTAATATAATATGGTATATTGTTTTTTTTAGAATGATTATTCATAGATATAATCTACATATGTTATATGAGTTTTCTGTTCTGAAATGCAGCACTGGGCACAAAGAGGAGATACTTCTTCTGAAGGAGCAGGTATGATACTGCAGACATGGCTTGTAGGAATTTTTATTAATGTTGCTTCTACATTTTATTAGGAAAATTGATGAGTATTATTATTTTAGGGCAATGATATGATCCAAGAGGGAGCTGAACTCAATATTTTAATAATTAGATAGGAAGTGATTGCAGAAATTCAATTCCTCATGGCTGAAATTGAATTTCAGCAATCCAAATACAATCTTCAAGGAGATTTGTAGAAAGATAACGGAAGAAAACTCTCTTCAATTTATGAAATTGGGAAGAAAACTCTCTTCAATTTATGAAATTGGGAAGAAAACGAACAAGATACAATGGATCCTCAATTGTAGAGGAGGATCCGACTCTCACAAATCTCTAGCTGGCGGCGAGAACCCAAAACTCTCTAAGAATACTCTAAATTTCAGTAAATATAAGATAAAACCTAACCATAGGTTAAACAATATATTTAAAGTATACAAAATATAGTTAATGCCAAAACAGCCCTCATAATTTGAATTTTCCACCTAATCCCCTCTTTAAATTCTTCTTAATTGTTGTTGGATTGTTGGGTCCCACCTCAATTAAACAGGTGCATATTCCGCCTAAACAAGCAAAACGTTGTTCTTCCTCATAGGTGGAAGCCTGTTCAGCGTCTAACACTACCCCCATCCTAAAGACCTACCTTGTCGGCAAGGTGGAAAGACTACTCCTTCCTCAAGTTCCTCATTATCACAAACAGTGAGAATATGAAGAGTTCGGTCCTTACACCTGTGCCTCGGTGTATACCTCTCCTCACATCTAAAGCACAACCCCTTCGCCCTCTTCTCCTGTAGCTCCGTCTATGTGAGTTTCTTGAAGTTTTCCCATGGTCTTTCTCCTATAGTCTTCTCTTTTGGGTCTCTTTAAGAGTACCAGATGTTGGCTCTTTGGATCCCAAAAAGGTAGTGGTCGTCCTGTACGAACCTCCTTAGCTGCTGCCTCTAGCCCCTCTCTCCAGGTACATCTGATCCTCCACTAGCTGGGCAGTTCCATAGCCTCTACCAAATCATGAGGCCTCATCACTCTAACTGCCGCTCTTATCTCTTATTTGAGCCCTTTCATAAAGTTCCCTTCCAATACCTTCGGAAGTCAGTCAAGTCAGCTGGCCAAGTGCTCAAACTGCTCACAGTACCCCACAACTGTCCCCTCCTACGTTAGGGCGAAGAACTGCTCATAGAAGTCTCCTCCCTTGTTGGTTCAGAAACATTCCAACTAGTCTTTAAACTCCCTTTATGTCCGTATGGGTCCTCGTATCCTTCCACTGGTAACATGCTAGAGCTTTTCCCTCCAAGCACATCTCGACTGTCATTTGTCTCCCCTTCTCAGTTAACCTACCTACCTTTTCACCTTGTATGTTCACCCATGGGCATCATCTCCCTCAAAAATAGGCATCTTGAGCTTCCACACCCACAGATCTCCTTCGTCACCCCTGCTTCCTCCAAAGTTTCCCATTCCCCAATGGGGTGGTTCCACCCAATTGTGCCAATCATCCATTCTCCGCTTGTATCCAAACCTTTCATAACAAGCCCATATTTTCCCTTCAAATTCAGCACCCCTTTGATCATATTTAGCCCCTCTCCTTTCAACCTCAACACTCCTTTTATCATTATCAAGCCCTCGTCTTTCAAATTCAGCCTACTCCTTTCAAATTCAACACCTTTCCGCTCATGCCCAACCCCCTCACATCTCTCCACACACTCTCTACCCGACTCCTCCCTAGGAATAGGCTCTAGGGGAGGCCTTTTTTCTACTCCCTCCAAAATCTCCACCTCCTGATCTTCCCTTCGGCTTATTGGCTTAGGATTTTCCCCACTTCATTGGTTGTTGGCGGATTCCCTCACCTCTGTTGGAGATGTTTTGGTTCGTCGCTCGAGCAATTTCTTCAACATCTCCTCCAGGATGAAAAATTTTTCATCGATCTTCTCGTGGACAACTGCAATGACTTTTGCAATTTAAAATTTGGGTTTGGAGATTTGAAATTTCAAGTTTTATTTGTTCAATCTCCCCTCCAACGCTTCTATCTTTCTTCTTGCCATAGGAACCAAAAAACGGCAAAAAAACAACAGATTTGGTGCTCAAACAACCAAATTCAATAATATGGAGAGAAAAATGCCAGTAGAAATTAGCAAGGAAGTCCTTTATTTTTGCCCAGGACAATGTTGTGATACCACTTTGATATGAATTGGTTGTAGAAATCCAATTCCCCATCGCTGAAATTGAATTTCTGCAATCCAAATACAATCTTCAAGGAGATTTGTAAAAGATAATGAAAGCAGCTCTTCCCTAGAAGCAAACTACTCATGCTTATGCCACAATCAGGGGCGGAACCAGCCTTAGTTCTCAGGGGGGCAAGTGGCAAACTTATAAAAAAATAAATATATATATGTGGATGCAAAAATAATTTATTTTGCACATAATCACTTTTCACAGATCTGTTTGTTAGTGTTAGAAAAATTCAACATAATCAAATGAAAATAGCGAGAGGCCAAGCGGCCTTCCGATTTTTGGAGAGCTCAGCACTACATAGTTCCGCCCTTGGCCGCAGTATTTTTCTTCAAGGCGAGAAACTGGCTACTTCTAATACAATCCGTTAGTTGACAACCTTGGAGGAAAGACAAACAACACCAGATCTGTAATTCAATTTTCAAACATAGCTCACAAAGCTTTCTTAAAGAATTACAAATATAAGATTTAGAAGCTTTTGAGAATATTGAATGACTACCGAAACAAAGAAAAGAAATTCTGAAAATTATATCATCAATCTTGATCCCTCAGGTTACCATTAGTATTAATAACCTTTAGCATTGTTAAAAACCATTCCTTAACACCAATTAGCCATTAAGATTACCATAAACATCAAAATATAGTGTTTTGAAAGGGTGATCTAAAATAATTATACTTCTGAAAAATTGTACTGTATGATCTCAGATCATATCATGCATTTCCATCAGATTGTGAAACTCATATTCTACCATAAAAATATCATATGGCATGAAGCATAAATGGCTAGTAACCTTCCAAATTGATTAACAGGACACCTAGTTAACAATTATAATATATTCATGATCATGCAGATCAAACTTGATTTAGTGTACAGTATGATGTGAATAGTCCACACCATTCCTCACAGAGGAAAGGATTGTCCTACATGTGTTAACTTTTACCTGTAGGCGAATATGGATGCGCCACGTCACCCGGATGCATTGGGCCCCAGGTGATGCGGCACGTCCGGATTCACCTCCGGACGAATCCGGACACTGCACGTAATAATTTTTCCTGAAGAAGCCATCTTTTTTCAGGTCGAACGTGAAAAAGTCCTCTGGCGAACAGAAGCAAGGAGATCGAATGTTGCAGTCATAGCTGAAGGTGCGAGGAAAGCGAGCGACCCACTCGTCATTCCAAAGAGAAATTATATCAGAAACTTCACTGCTGCTCCAGAACCAGCCCCATCTGGCAAGAAGATCCCTCTATATCAAGTTGCTCACAGTAGAGCTGGTGACAAAGGAAATGATCTAAATTTCTCTATCATCCCACATTTCCCCGGAGATATTGTGAAGCTAAGACCTGTAATCACTCCTGAATGGGTGAAAGGAGTTGTCTCATCTCTGCTGGATTTCTCTCCATTCTCAATTTCCATGGCTTCAAAGCAGAGAAGCGACAAGCTAGAGCTGGTTACAGTGGAGATATATGAGGCCAGAGGAATAAATTCTTTGAATATTGTGGTCCGTAATGTTCTTGATGGAGGTGTCAATTGTTCTAGAAGGATCGATCGCCATGGGAAGACTGTTTCTGATCTCATATTGTGCCAGGAGGTTGTTCTGCCGTAGTAATTGATATTTAATATGAAAATTTTATCCTCTATGTAAGTGCTTAAATTCAATATTATACATTTATCCTCTTCTTCTCAAGATCTAAAAAGAGAGTATCAATCTTTCTTATTTTTCTCTCTTATTTCTCTCTTTTGGTTACTTATGTAAAATCTCTATTGCATTTGTTGTAGGTTTTTGATAGAAGTTCTGTTGAAATTTTTTATCCTCTTGAAATATGAAGTTATTGAAGTTTGATTAGGAATGGCTAATGGAAATCAATCTTTTTTTTTACCTAAAGCTTTGCAAGTATAGTTATAATCTGCATCTCTTACATTTCAATTTTTTGTGTGGATTCATTTAGTTTCATGTTTGAGCAATGAGCCATATAGAACATTATGAAAAATTGATTATTGCAGTTTTAAGAAACAAAATCCTAAAGTGTGAGTAAATATAATACTTAATTAGATAGGCATATGTATTGATGGTGTGATGATTTATTGAATAAAAGTTATATTAATATATTTTGATATAAATTATACAATGATGAATTTAAAAGTTATTAAATTTATTTTGATATGCTATCATTTGTAGTATTAAATAAAAGAAAATCAATAAAGATAATAAAATGTTATAAGATCATTAAAAATAGCTAAAAAGTGTAAAATTTTAGGTTCCATTTGAGATAGTTTTCTTAATGTTTTGTTTTTAAGATCATAATCATGATTTTTATTTGAACATTATTTGTTCATGCAATTTTTTTTATTTGTGCTAAGAAGTTGTTTTCTATAATAGCTTTCAAAAAAGTTATATTTTTCGTAGCATTTTTAAAATCACCTTTGTAAAAAATTACAGCTATCCCAAAGAGACCCTCGTTTAGATGATAAATCTTTGGACTTCTTAATTGAACCCTCTTATTTTACTATTTTTGCACCAACTTTTTGTTGATATGCTATCATTGTAGCATCCATATTTCTCCTCACCATAATGTATTCTGGAAGATCAAATATCTCAGGAGAATGATGGAGCAAAAAATTTGCCTGTGCAGGATATCATAATCTTGCCATTCAAAGGTGGAACCAATTGATTGTCTTAAAAAATATTTTTTTTTCTTAGAAGAATAAATATTTTTACTATTTTGTCCACCTTCAATAAATGCAATTACCCAAATTTTAAGAAATAATTTTTTTTATTTCATATATAAATTTATATATTTTATACTCCTATTTTACTCATCCTAAAAAGAGAGATTATGTTCCTAATGTCATTTCAATTTGAATCCATCCCAATAAGAATATCTCCTTTAGAAGAAGATGAGAACATCGAGGCAGAGATATTGAATCTTGGCATTACACTTTTCGTAATATAATTTTTGCCATCTTTATTGATATGTCACCAAAATATAATGGCCTGAATTCTTAGCTATCGAGATATTATCTGTTTTGGCTTAAGGAGTTCATGATTTTTTCATGTTGGTATAACTTACTAAGAGGTCACACATCCCAGATTTTCTTAAGGATGAGTACGTTTAACTGTGAAATTTCAACTATTACACAAAAATGTGTCTTCATGTTTAAGAATTTTATTTCTTTTTACTTAATGGGTTTTACAATCTTCCCCACTTAAGCAACTAATATCCTCATCAGTATCCTTATTCCATAATCATCCACTATGCAAATAACATTATATAAGTTCAAGTAGTGACTCCTGCCATATAGCACTTTGTCCCTTATAAGGTTCAAGAGGTGGCTCATATGGCATAACACTTTGTTTTGTATGACATTTAATTCTCATCTTCTGGCTAGTGTATTGCTCTGATACCATTTGTAACAGCCCAAATTCTTAACTATCGAGATATTATCCTTGGTGTAGCTTCCCATGAGGTCGCTTATTTCAAAATTTCTCTGGGATGAGCACGCTTAACTACAAAGTTTCTTAATTAAATTCTAACAATTATATCAAAAGGTCCCTTAATATTAATGTTGAAGATTTTAACTTTTTTCACTTAAGGGATTTTACAAAAAAAAAAAAAATCACCTTTTATCAAGCACTAATCTTGAGGTATATTTGAATTGAAAACTTTTAAAATTAATTTTGGGATCATCTGAGCTATGATCTTAGCAAACTTATAGTCAAATTGAATGTCTTGACAAGACAAACCCAATGACACTATAATTGGTCCTATCCGAGTTCAAATGTGCCCGAATCAATAGACTGAAGCATATTTAAAAGCTTCAAAGTTATTTGACTCTCCAAATATGATATGCATATAGTTGAGTCGAGCAGTTCGACGACACAAATCCAACAAGTCAAAGATCACTTAATTCTAACATTATTAAGGCATTCAAATACTCGACAAAGGCTCTATGATTGAAGGAATCAATATGAATTTTTTGATGGCACTCCAAATTTGACTTAAAATTTCTCTATATTTACGGAGTATGTCACTCTCAAAGCCTATAAATAGGTTTTCATTCTTCACATGATGAAAGAGGAGGAAGGACACAGAGAACTATGAAGAACTCTCCTGTATTTTTCAACTATTGTCGCCAACAACTATCGTCGGTTATTATCATGGCAACCATTATTGCCATTGATGATCAGCATTAGGAATCTCTACCATCTCTAGAGTATTGATAAGATTTAACCTTGCCTTTGACTATAAAAGTACATTTGTGAACATCTATGTTTTTATGAATTAAGCTCTATTATTAGGTATTAACTATCATACTTTATTTCTGTACTCTCCCTCTTCTTCAACAATAAAGAAAGAAAGATCTTTATATCACTTATCATTTAGCGATTTTATAACTTAGCCATGCGTAATAGTTTTTCCTTTTTCCAGGTTATTCATGTAAAAAATTATCTGATCTTACTACTTTCATCTATTATACAACACTGAGATGTAAAATATATACTTTACCGACTCGAATTTTCTACCACAACATTTATAATGGAAACTCAAAATTTCAAAAGAAAATGTGATCTTCTAGTCACTCTTAACGAGGGTTTTATAGCAAGAGAAAAACAAAACAAAAAAAAAGGTTTTTTTTTTCTATCACCATTAAAATTCGATATTTTTAATAGCATTTGATATCAACGGTTTTAAAACTACAGTTAAAAGTCTCTTTTAACGATGGTTTAAACCGTTGCAAAATTAAGAAAAAAAATATTTATCTTGTAGCGGTTAAAATCAATAGTCATCTTTTAATTACAATTTAAATCACTTTAGTCTTCACATTTTCACTATTTAGGTTGTGTCCTAGCCGCCCTCCTTCACACCTATTGCATTTACCGCCACCGTGCCTGTTGCGGGCTAAGATATTCGCGGCGGTAGAGTGAGTAAATTTCTCGTCTTAATAATGCACAGATACCCAACACACAAGCAGAAAGAGAGAAGTAAAACACCTAATATTTTTTATGTGGAAAGCCCAAAGAGGGAGAAATCACGGGGTCTCACCCAGGTGAAAAGATTCCACTAAATTTGAGTGAATTACAAATATTGACCCGTCCCTTGACTTAGGAGCTGTCAAATTACATTAGTTTGGAGAGTTAGGCCAAGGTCTGGCAACTGTCGGGGGGAAGTCTAACAGCGTCCGGGCAGAAGTTCATGGCTTGCATGAAAATTGCAGCAATTTATAACCTCTTAAACGTTACAACTTCACCTAATATTAAATTGGCTCGCAACAGTGCCAACCACTATAGTTTAAAACAAATCGTATATATTTAGAATTGCAGCAGTTTGAACCGATACAGTAAACCTAGAATTGCAGCTATATATTCTAAAATATATAACTTCAACTTATAATCTTAAAAAAAAATAAGTTTTTTTTTAAATTAATGGTTCATTAGTTTTTTTTTAACTTTCGATAGAACAACTAATGCTGGCGACGTTCATATTTTGATAAACTTAAGCACAACCAACAACAGGCTAATATTAATCCAACGGTTCTTAACTAACTTTAACTGCCATACTTAGAGAAAAAGAATAAATACATGATAATTCAATGGAGAAAAAAAATGAAAAACCGGCTTTAAGATTTGTGCAATACAATTTCTTTATAGGTATCGCACTAATCTCAAAGCGCATCCAATAATTTCTAACTTCATTCCAATACAACATATTCAAGATGTCCTCATACAATCTTTTTTATTATTTTTTTAAATTTAATGATATGTATGTAAACTAACTAATTTAATTTGAATAAGTCCCCCATTATTAGATTTGCTTTGAGAAGAGTGCAATAAATTTCTATTGATTTCATATATAGATTATACTTATCTCAAAATAAATATAATAACTATAACTCATGATGATCCAAATTTGATCGTAATATTCTAACACAATTTTTTTTTTCAATATGGCTGAATTCTTCCCTTCTAAATAAATTTGAAAATAAATTAGATTGGAAAATCTAATCAAACATCTAATTAAGGTAGATTTTTAAATCATTAGATTTACTGATTTAGGATTCGTTTGAGACGGCTATAACTTTTTATAAAGTTGATTGGATAACCACTATAAAGAAAATAAATTTTTTGAAATCTATTTCATAGTACAAACATTTCTTGAAAAAATAAAAAATAGTAATGAAATAAAAATTAGAGTTGCTGTTTAAAAAGTAAAACAGTAAGAAAGCTGTCATGAACGAGTGAAATTATTTTGTGCAGACACCGGACCCGTCGGAGGCGAATCAGAGCACATCATGTCACCCTTTTATTGTGTACCAGGTGATGTGGCACACTTTGATTCGCCTTCAGATGGTGCAGTGTCTGCACAAGAAAATTTTTCCACGAATGAAGCCTTATTTTAGGACAGTGTAATATAAATTTTGATTAATTATTCATATATTGTATTCATATCAAAAGCATATTTAGATCAGAATCAAAATTCTTCACTTGAATTCTTTTATATTTATGTTGAGATTAGTGTTTATGTATGTTGAGATTAGTGTTTATGTATGATATAAAAATTGCACTAATACACGCACAAATCTAAAAGCATTTTTTCATCCAACAAAAAAAAAGGAACCAAATTTGAATTAGTCTTTGCGGTGTGCAGCTCACCCGTTTCTCTCCTACATTCCCTCTCCTTCCTCCTCTCCTCAACAGTTCCCTCTCCATCCTCTTCTCCTCAACAGACCGAAACTTAAATCTCGTAGCATTAATTCATTCTTCCGAATCGCCCCTTTCCCCATCAAATTGTTGCCGAAGGTCTCACTGCCAACCTCTGTTTCCTCGATTTGACAGAAAGATTTCATTTTTATCGGCTGTTTTTACGAAATGTTCTTCTCTGTAAGTTTTTGATTTGTGGATTTGTAGGGATAGGAGAGCGTCTGGATCATCTTCTTGTTCTTCTGCTTCTGAGATAGGGTTCCGTCTGCCGTCGTCGATAAAGCAACCGCAATGTCTTTCAGTGGGACTCAGGATAAGTGCAAGGCGTGCGGGAAGACGGTTCATTTCATCGACCTGCTCACCGCCGATGGAGTGGTTTATCATAAGACCTGCTTCAAATGCAGCCATTGCAGTGGCACTCTCACTGTAAGTGTTTTTAGATCGAAAAAAAATATATTTTTATTTTTTATTTTTTTTACTTTGTTTTAAGGATGATGTCATATAATAATCGATTAATTACATATATTATGAATTTGAAGTTAAATATCGCAGAAATAAATGTATGATCAGCTCTCAAATTATACAAACTGATATACAGATTGGAACTCATAAAAGAATCATCAAATGTTTAGTTCCTCCAGAAAATTTCATGCTTTTTGCTTGTTTTCAGATGTGTAACTACTCATCCATGGACGGTGTGCTCTACTGTAAACCCCATTTTGAGCAGCTCTTCAAGGAAACGGGCTCCTTCACCAAGAAATTTCACAGCCGTAAGTCTCTCTCTCTCTCTCTCTCTTTCTCTCTCTCTCTGGGTGCAATTCTCTGCTAATAACATATGCTTTGGTTGTATATGTTCAGCAAGCAAATCAGCAGAGAAGCTTGAATTGGTAAGTATAATAAAAGAAATAACTCATCTTCTCATTCTAATCCTAATCACTGTTTCTTATTTTGTATTAATCTGCAAATTGTTTAATGTTTATAATTACAGAACAGAACAGCAAGCAAGGTCTCACAGATGTTCTCTGGTACACAAGACAAATGTGCTGTATGTAAGAAGACAGCTTATCCTCTAGAGAAGGTCTCTCTCTCTCTCTCTCTCTCTCTCTCTCTCTCTAACATTTGATTATCCTAAAATTCAAGATTCTCTCTCTGTCCCTTCTCCATGTCACAGAAGTGCAAGTGCATAGTAGTTGTAGTGAGGTCTTTTTATCTGTCTCTCTCTAACATTTGCTTTTCCTAAAATTCAAGATATAGAATAATTTTGTAAACAGTAAGATATTTTTATCAAATTGTAAGATTCTTCTTCTGTTTTATAAAAAAAAATCTTAATATAATTGCAAGATATATTTAAAATTTGGATGTTTTCATGCATATCATAAAAGTTTAAGCCAAATAAAAAATGATTGTCTCCTACTTATTCTCGTCAAATTCATATCCAAATATTAAGATATTTTAATATTTGATCTTTTGTGAAAAGATATCCAGCATAAAGAACATCATATAGCTATTTGCTATTTAGGTTCAAGCTCATAGTTTAACTTTTTGGTCAGTTTAGCTTACTAGAGACTCCTTAAAGCTTGAAAATGAACGCTACTCATCTTGGTCTGTTCGTTAGGAGCTTTGACTACTAACCAAGAGGTTTTGGATTCTAGTCTTGCGTATGTGATATGTGTGAGTTTGACTTAATTAGCCTAAATGTCACTATAGGAAAATCTTCAATTACTGACTGTTTACATATATTCTCCAATTACAGAATAAACCATGTAGGAAAAGAAAACCGACGATCATTTTTCTGCCGCAAAATTTTTCTGTGATTTTTCAACGGCTAAAACAGCCAGAAATTAGTGAACCCAAAATCGTGGATATTAATGAAGGCCTTAATTGGCTTAAATCCAAATCAAAAGATTAACTCCTTACCTGGTTGCTCTTCTGTCTCTCTTTATCTTAATTTACAGCTGAATGTGGAGGGAGAATCATACCACAAGACCTGCTTCAAGTGCTCTCATGGCGGATGCACTCTCACACCATCAAGCTACGCTGCTCTAAACGGCATTCTTTACTGCAAACACCATTTTTCTCAGTTGTTTATGGAGAAAGGTAACTATAAGAATTTGATTAAAACTGCTTCAATGAAGGAGGAGGAGGAGGCCAGTGCGGCCAAGGAACCACTCCAAGATCCCCAACATACAGAAGATAGTTAAGCCATTTTCTAAATAATTTCTACTTTTTTTTTCTGTGTTTTGTTGATTTTTTTTTTCTGTGCATTCGCGATCCATCTGCTCTATGATAAAGTCAAAATTTGCTTTCAAGGAAAACTTAATTTGTTTTGCTTTTTTTTTTTTGTCTTTGTTATATATAACATCTAAAAATAGAGCTTATATTCTCATAATGCCCGAAAAAATAGAAATATGTTTGATGTTTTGTTTTTTTGAGAAAATATGCCAAAAATTTCAATTTGAACCAAAATGCCAGTAGATTTGGAAAAGATGAATTGACCCCTCCTATTCTTATCACCTTCTTCTTCTTACACAATTTTTGTTTGAGAGTGATTCTTCCAGTTCTAATGCAATATTTTTGTCTCTGTATTCTGCTAGCTGATGGTTATCATTGAAGGTTAGTGATTGATTTTATACATTTACACCTTGAACCCTAAACCCGAAAAGATATTGTATATGATATTACTAGTTTTAAACATTACTGAAAGCTTATTTTGACCTAGTTCAGTACTTGTTAGTCACATGATTAAACATACTTCGAAGCTTGTTTGAAGTATATTTGTATTTTGGAACCAAAATCTAATAATTATCAAAAAAATATTTGATCATGGATCAACCATGGTTTGATCATGTTCAAAATAAGTTTTGAGCAATAGTCAAAGAAGATTTGATCAAGTTTTGAACAATACTAAGTGTTCGATCATATGTTCGATAAAGCTTTGAGCAAAGCCCCAATTTCTTATCTTTGCACTCATTTAAGTTGTCAGATATGCATGTATCATGCTCAGTTCACATATAGATCTGGGTGTATGATTGAAAATTTTTATAAGTAATTTGAACCAGTTGAGGTGAGATTTAATAACATCGTTGTATTGAATATGAGAGGCAAACATACAATATATGACTATGCAAGTATATGCTATTATACTTGTAGAAAGGTATTACATATATTTTTGTAGATGTGCTAATGCTTTTTATGGATGTGTTTGTTGAAGACTAATGCAAAGCTTGGTGCTTTAATTCATGATTATAAATTAAGAATAAACATGCTCTTGTTGCATGAAAATGATTTTAATCTTGATTAATCTAAAGAGAATAATATATATGTAATCAAATTTAGCCACTTTATAGTGATATATATGTAATCAAATTTAGCCACTTTATAGTGATATATATATATATATTTTAAAACTTAGGTACTCTATAGTGTTATAGTTGTATTATAGATAATATTATTATATTTAACTGAATAAAAAAAAATTATTGTGTTTACATACTATGTTATTGTACAACATTATAATTGCTTTAATTTAATATAAGACTTATTGCTGAAATTTTATCTTCTATTGTGTTTGCCTGGTTGTGTTAGAGTTGTAATTGCTTAATATGTATTGTCTTTCTTTGAACATGAAATGAACTTTATTCAAACATGAAATTTAATTATTTTATAAACATTTCTAATAATATTCTATTCGAACCTTGATCCAAAAAAACAATCAATGTAATGTTCAATTAAGATTAGAATATTTTTTTTAATCATGAATCAAACTTTTAAATAAACACTAATCTCCAAACCGACCCTAATTTTGAATAAAAATGATTAATGTTTGATTATGTTTCAAAGAATGTTTGTTCATGGATTAATTTTTTCTAGGATATGATTTCAACCTTGATCAAATTTTGTTTGAACTTTATTTGAATGTTATTCAAATGAAATTTGGTTGTGATGGATTTACAAAAGTTGTGAAGGGTCTAGTGCTAACTACTTTTTTAAGTCCTTTATGACCAAAATTGATTGAAATAGAACATGTGTACGTATAATCATGACATCTTTATTAATATAAAATATGCATTTCAAGATCGCATCTATATCACAATAACATAGCTAACTTGATATAAAGGGCTTAAACATGACTACATCTATATAACTATTATTGTGCCTTGCAAGATTATTAGGATTAAAGCCCTTTTTATTAAGCAATAACATGTGTATTTTAATTTGTGATTGTGAGTTCAAACTACCAACCTTTGCATTGATCTTTAGCAGCACATCCATTAAAAGTAGCAGCACATCTACAAAAAATAGTATAATGCCTCTCTATAGACATGATGTTTGGTGATTGCCTCTCATATTCAACCAAATGATGTCATTAGCATCAAACGACTCCATTTTCTTCATCACATCTTTAGCTTTATATGTGAGCTAAACATACATTTGCAAGCATAAAACAAGAATACTCAAATGAGTAAATTGCAAAATAGAATATGTTCAAAACAATAAATTTTGAACTTTGCTCAAAGTTTCATCAAATATTGACCAAAATTTGATTAAACTTGTTGAAAATTGTTTGACCAATGTTTTAGCATTAATCAAAACTTTTTTGGAACATAATCAAGCCATCTTTAAAACATGATCAAAACTTCTACAATTATGATTCAATCCTTATATCAAAATAAAAAAAGCTTTGAATATGCTTAGAAGAATATTTGATTAAGGTTAGAATAAGTTTAGAGAAATGTTTGAAGCAGACAATCTCATATATAATATCAAGGCCTAGGGTGTAATGTCCCAAGATCAAATTCCAAGATCAAATTTAGAAGAATTACTCTTTTAAAATAAACATCAAAGCTATTTATTTCTATTTTATAAATAAAGCATCAACTGAAACAACATTAGTAATCAAAACATCAAAATACATCTATATTCGTATTCCAAAATCATATACAATACTCAGGAATTATATAATTATAGCATATTCTTCCATTCTTGAGTACAAAAGAATAACTAAATTGAAAAGGAATAGAATATAAGGAATCCTGATTAGTCTATCACACTCCTGAATCTCTTCCCTAACATGAAATCATTTAAACATCATATAAAGAGTTAAAAAGTCTGACAGATCATCCAATCCTACAATTGATTCAAAGCATGGTAAAAAAGTAGTATGCATGTCTTCAGTTAATTCGTAGCTGTACCAGTCATATGATCATAATTTGATGCAAAAATAGTAAAGTACATATATAGTAGCAGTAAATTCTGTAATCAATAAAATAATGTAGTATGAAAGTTGGTAAAGCAGTAGAGTGGGGACCAATACGAATGTCGATTTGATAAAACAATCATCGTATCAGTACTATCAATCAATAAAAAATCATATAAAGTGGTAACTAAAGCATTGATAAAGACTGTCAAAATTATATCAATGCAGTAAAATTCTATAATGATGTACACATGCTATCTAGTTATTCTATATCAATATCTTATTCAAGTCCTCAATATATCACATATTCAATATCAATACAGTGTTGTTTGTACAATAATCAATATAGTGAATCAATAGTATCAAACAACATCAATGTCTGTATTTGTAGCAGTATCAATATGGTGCCATCAGTAAAATTGATGGTAGTAATTGTAAAGTAATACAATAACAATAAATTCATTCAATGATAATAAATTAGTAAACAATAATAGCAAAGCGGTAAAATCATATAGTAACAATAATAATAAATCAATAACATACATTTTAGTTGTCACACTAAACAAGTAAGAAGTCTTGGTATAAGCGATATTTTTCTAATAAGTAATAATCCATATTAATATCTCGTTGGATCATTACACAGAGTTGTCACTCTTTGCCCGTCAGCATAATAATAACTCCTTATAATCAGTGTCACATGAATCGATAAAGGATATCATCAAACTATAATATTTAAAGGAAATCCCATCGATCCACAATCATGAACATGTCAGTCAGTCTCTAGCCAATATCAGTGAAAGTGTGAAACCAACTTTCATTTGTCTTCACACATATTATTATCAAAGTAATATGACAATAATAATGGCCAGCTATTACTCAATTATATACCCACATTCATTTGCAATGCTTTTTTTAACAATATGCCTACAATAAGAATATCAATTATTAAATTTGTATAAACAATAAAAAATACAGTAGCTTCCATTTTACCCGGTCAAATTCAATAAATGTTAGAGTAAAAATGTCCAGGATAATCAGTATTTTAGTTGTGCGGTAAAAGTTTAATAAATTCAGATAAAATGCAATAAAATTAATTTTGGAGAGAATCAAATAGTTAAATCAAAATCTTTGAAAATAAAGAGAATTATAATCACCTACAGTGATCTGAGTAATTTCTATAAAAGTGATAAAGCAGTTCGGTAGCTAAAAATTAACTCTCTCTTTCTCTCTGCTGTACTGCAATTCAAACATGAATTCATATTTTTTTCTTTTTAATTTTTTTTTAGAAATTCAAATTGTTACAGTCTACCAACCTTAGAAAAATATTATCCTTGATATTTCCCTTAAGAATTTGGGCATAATAATCAATATAAAATAATGCCATACAAGCAAAACTCAAATCAAATTAAAATCAAATCAAAAGCTTGTTGAATTATACAATCATATAATTCATTCTATCATATGTCATTCACTTATGCATGAAATATAACATTCAATCATTCAAATAAATTTCTTACAAATAGAACTCTTTGGTTGCTATCAATCTTCCAAATAGTATAAGTTATATACACATGACATTACTGGAGTAAGTCCTGTTTGTGTTGTCGGTGTAATAAACTTCCTCTGACTATCACTAATAACTTTATCATTAGATGGTTTAAGACCTTTCACTATATGTTCTCACTACTATAGTCCTCTATCCTTCATTTTGCATAGAATATTCTACCCTTAAATTAATTCTCTCTCTCTGTGAACAATCCACTACCTTGTGTCATTACTATCCACATCAAAAACACTGCTCTGCTAGAAGGTATCACTAACCTCCATGCCTCTTTCCACAATGGATATATGCAATGAAATTGTCGATAGATGGAATAGGTCAAGATCCCTTTGAATCACTGTATATGCTTTTCTTATTACTATCTCTATCTTTATCCCTGCTTGACTCATCTATGCTCCTTCTCCTGCTAACATCATATGTAAAGCCCACATTGTACCTAGATGTTGATACTGTCAAATCAAGCTCTATCAGTTTAGTATGCTCCACTAACTTAGAAAACTCATGAATTTGCAGTTATACTAATGGATATCTCAACTCTCTATTTAACCCTTGCAGAAGTAAACAACACTTTTATT